CGAGCAACAGGGTCCACCATCACTTTTGATGGGTTTCTAAAGGTCTATGAAGAAGGCCGCGATGACACTAAAAAAGAAGATAAGGATGAAGGGATTCTTCCTCCAGTTACTCAAGATGAAAAAGCGAACCTTGACCAATTGATCTCCAATCAACACTTTACCCAACCTCCACCCCGATATAGTGAAGCAAGCCTGGTAAAAAAACTGGAAGAATTGGGAATTGGGCGCCCATCGACTTACGCTTCCATTCTCCATACACTTCAGGATCGAAATTATGTTCGTCTTGAAAAGCGTCGTTTTTGGACAGAAGCCAGAGGACGAATCGTTACCTCCTTTTTGACACATTTCTTCAAACAATATGTAGAATATGACTTCACAGCAAAACTTGAAGATCAGTTGGATGATATTTCTAGTGGATCTTTTTTAAAATGGAAAGATATTTTAAATGATTTTTGGACGCAGTTTAAAGCACGCACAGGCGAGGTTTCAGAAGTCCGCACTACTGAAATTATCGACACTTTAAATGAAGATCTTCTGGACCTTTTTGTCGAAGATCGAGCATGTCCAGAGTGTAAAACAGGTTCTTTAAGCTTGAAAAATGGACGTTTTGGCGCCTTTATCGGATGCTCCCGTTATCCGGACTGTGGGTATACCCAACAACTCTCTTCTGGTTCGAAAAAAGAAGAAGGAGACGCCCCAGAAGACAATAAACTTCAGCTAGAACGTGTTGAGCCTAAACTCCTTGGAACAGATCCGGAATCTTCTGATGAAATTACCTTGCGTAAAGGACCGTACGGTTTTTATTTTCAGTGGGGTGAAGCAAAAGGACGTGGCAAAGGGAAACCCAAACGTGTTGGATTGCCAAAAGGGTATACACACGAACAAGCCAGCTTAGAGTTAGCCCTTTCACTGGCCAGTCTTCCACTAGCTTTAGGGCAAGATCCGGATTCCGGAGAAGAAGTTTCTGCAGGTTTAGGGCGTTTTGGACCTTATATTAAAGTTGGAAAAAGCTTCACATCCCTTCCAAAAACAGATGATGTGCTCACCGTTTCTTTAGAACGCGCCTTAGAAGTTGTTAAAGAAGCGCCAAAAAAAACACGTTCAAAAAAGCAAGCTTCTAAGTAAACTCTGTGGCTTTTTCTCATGTCCCTTCTCCTAAAGACCTTATAGACTTTATTAAGAATACAAAGGTCCCTGCAACACGACGAGAAATCTCCAAGGCATTTAACTTAAAAGGGAATCAGCGCACAGCCTTGCGGCATATTTTGGCGCAATTGGTTAAAGAAGGACAACTTATCCAGCATAAAAAATCCTACACCCTTCCAAGTCCAGGAGAAAACCCTTTGGAAGGGTCTTCCATTCAAACATTTGAGGTGATCGAAAATACATCTAGCCGTTGGCCCACTATACGCCCCTATCAAAC